TCTTTCTAAAAATTATTAGAATGTAAATGTTTACTTGGATTGATTATGATTAATGTAAAGTAGCATTAGTGGATACTAACCATCACCAGGAGGTTGGTTGTAACTTAGCACACACTCAGAGCTGAAATATAAACTCTGAAGTAAATGAAACAAACATATATACCCATGTCACTTAGGTTCAAAAGCACAATGGTTAGAACGCAATATTGCAGGCTAACTCACTGCTCACTCCAGGAGTTCTATTCCAAACAGCTCAAGGTTGACTCAGCCTTCCATCCTTCTGAGGTCAGTAAAATGAGGACCCAGATTGTTGGGGGCAATATGTGGAGTCTGTAAACTGCTTAGAGAGGGCTGTAAAGCACTGTGAAACAGTATATAAATCTAACTGCTACTGCTACATTTAATTAAAAATATACAGTATATTAGTTCTACTTCTAGTTCGAAATAAAAAAGAATTTTAAACAAATTACCAGATAAATTGGATATCTGGAAATAAGTAAAAACCCAACTTTCAACTTGGGTTAGTAGTGAAACACTAAACAGGATTATCAAATTGGCCATAACTAGTATTATTTTTATTTCCTTATTAATTTCTACTTATAGTGGTATTTTGGAATGATTCTGCAATATTCTGTTTACAGTTAGCTGCAAATGAATGTACTTTCATGCAAATTCATGCAACAAATTAGCCGTGAAATAATAAGCAATTAATTTTTATACTCTAGGTTATTACTGAAAGAATGAAATGTGATTATAAATCCCCGAATAACATCAGTGAGGCCACAAATGGGATTTAGCACCGAAGCATTTAGAAACATTTTTATGTTGTGAAAATATACAATCTGAACAATTGTTTAACTTGGAGAGACAGGAAGCAAAACTGCTCACATCTATTCTTTTTGAATGTCCAATTGAATCCTTTGGATTGAAACATGCTGGAATTTGGTCACTAGATTCTGCAAGAAAAACGTGAAAGTATGCAGTCTTAAATATTTAACATTTATTAATTTATAAATATGAAATAACATTTAAATAATTTAAATCCCATGTAGGATTAACTCAAAATTTTGCTGAGCAGAAAAAGTTCAGTTGTCAGTATTTAGGACTCCATTTATTTTGGGGGTATGTGTGACTGAACTTGTTGAAATGGAGAATATAAAAATTTACTGTAAGTTTTAAAAATATGAGGTATGCTTCCTAAAGTAGGGGAAGGTTTTCCTTCTCTTTTTTATATATTTCATTAATTAATAATATATACAATATTTCACCATTTTTCATTACCACTCCAAGACAGTATAGACAGATTCCTGTTTAGCTACATCATGGATGCAACCTTATACCTTAGATCAGTACTTTCAAACTTAGCAACTTTAAGATGCATAGACTTTGACCCCTGGAATTTCTCCAAGCAGCATGATCTCTCTGGCAGGAGCAAACTGGGGTTGAAGCATCCATCTTAGCTTCCTTGGCCTGTCAGCAGTGTTTCAGTTCTATTTTGGACCAACTTAAGGGCTAGGGAAGCAGTATATGATGCTACATGGCTCTTCTTTCTCCAATTCCAATCAGTGTTAACAGGAAGGGAGAAATATGACCCTATATCCCTTCCATAAAGATTGTCTCAGTCCTCTCCCCCACTCCTGCTTACCTTCTACATCAAACCTTTGAGTAAGGTTATACATTAGACTATGGGGAAAAGAACAGACTTGAACTCAATCTTAGCAAAGCTGAATGGTTGTAGGTTGAAGACCCTCTCCCCTTGATCTGTGGCACCTTCTGGACTCATGACTTCTCTTCAAACAGTAGGTGGTAGCTGCAGCTAGGAGATCCTATGCATTGTTTCACCGTATGTCCCAATTGTACCCTTTCCTGGATAGGAGCACTGCTCACTGTCATTCATGCTGAGGCCATCTCTCAAAAGGATTGCACCATTGTGTTTTACATGTGGTGCCCATAGATAACACCCAGAAGCTGTAACTGATCCAGAACATGGTCCCATGGGCAGCTATGTACCTTAGTGAGTACCAGCACCTTGGTATACTCCTGCTATACCAAAATTGCACTGCTTTCCATAGCTTCTGGAGTAAATTCAACATGTTGGTTACCATCTATAAAATCCTTCATGGCGTGGGGCAAGGTTATTTTACAGGAACACCTTTTACAACGTTTCCTGCCACTGTTGTTAAGTGAATCAGCATGGGTTAAATTAGTGTCACAGTTGTTCAGTGAATTTGGTTTCTCCGTGGACTTCGATTGTCAGGTCACAAAAGGGGATCACATGACCCTGGGACACTGCAGCTGTCATAAATGTGAGTCAGTTGCTAAGCGTCTGAATTTTACTCACGTGACCATGGGGATGTTGCAACTGTCGTACATGTGAAAAACAGTCATAACTCACTTTTTTCAGTGCTGTTGTAACTTTGAATGGTCACTAAACAAATGATTGTAAGTTGAGGACTACCTGCACTCAGCAGTAACTTCACGTGGTGTTCTTGATTCGGGAACACACTTCTTCCTGAGATTTATTTTGCCCAGAGCCTACTAGAATTTTGTAAATCCTTGAAGCATTGCACTGCGCAGTTCAGTGTTCTATCAATGTGATTATGTTTTATGTGGTCTAAGTTAGATTATTCTTGGCACCGTTATGTTATTATTTTTAAGCATCTTATATTTCTATGTGTTGGCTTTTTAATCCTATTTTTTTGCCACTCACAATTGTGAGATGGGTGGCTATATAAACCATTATGATAAACTAATTAAAAATTGTGTCCAATATTTGGAGACATGTCCATTTAAAAAAACAACAGAAACATGGGATGTGATTTCCCCCCCCCCACACACACACACACCATAATAAATGGAAATTCTCCTTTGTGTCAGTGAGTTCCTTCTGTCTTGTCTCTCTCTTTTGTCTTATTTGTCTTAGGATGGTTGAAGATGTGATGTCTGTATGTTCTCTGTTGTAAGTAACTTTTAACCCTAAACATACCTGTTACCAGCAGAAATGCCTCATGTTTTTTGTCCTGTCTACATGTTTATGTATTGTTTTGCCTTGTTTCAGTCTTGTTTAGTTGTTTACTTTTACAAGTTTGCTTGCAGTGATATCCAGTAATGTAGGTCATGATACCTATATTCATTAAGATTATTTTGACTTGCATCAAGATTATTTTGAGTGGGGGGAAAAAGGCTGATCAATACATAAAGATGAGCAAAACTATTTCTTGATCAATCTATCATCTGTCTGTCTGTCTGTGTCTATCTATCTAATGTTCTGCAATTAAGTCTTCAGGTGGCAATTTCCACTCTCACTTTCCATATTGTTCTCCGTGCCTGCTTGAGTGGCATGCATGCATCATAAAGCCTGGTTACCAGAAGATGAAGCGTGAAGCCATAATAACCCATTTCTCTTTTGATTATATGGTTTAGCATGGGTTTGGCAACATTTCACAGTATTATAGATGAAAGCAGCTATTTTCCTTCGATAATACACTTGTTAATGCAATGTAGTTATATTGTAATTTATTTTCTAAGTAAGATACAGCTAGCAAGCATGTTTCTCAATGTGTTTCAACAATTAGTTAAGATACAGATAGTCCTTGGTATACAAATGGTTGCTTAGTGACCAATCAAAGTTCTGACAGACCTATCTGGGTGAGGGCACTTATGACCTGGATTTGAACTTCTGATGGTCAGGCCCCCCTGCAGCCTTATGACTGCACTAGGTACTCAGCAGCTGGACTGCATTTATGGCCATTAGCAACATTTCATGGCCACGTGACTGCATTTTACAACAGTTTTGCTGAAAACAGGCATTTGTTGTCAGCAATACTGCACTCTTTGTGAACTACTAGTTCACTTAATGACCAAGGTTTTGCTTAACCTCTGTAGATTCATTTAACAGCCATGGTGAGTTGCTTAAGACCATTGCAAAAAGGGGTTGTTGTAAAATTGGTTTGGCCATGTGACTGATTTGCTTTATGATTGTCATGAGTTATGAGCATGATAGATGGGTTCCATTTTGGTTGTAATTCAAGGACTACCTGTACTGATATATTTTACATAAATCAACTCATTTTTGCTTTGGTTCCTTTATGGGGGTTTTTTGTTTGTTTTTTTGCCATTTCAGAAATTAGTTGAGACATAGCTATAATATTTGAAAATCTTATTCTCATACAATTGCTCTCCACCAAAACATAATATCAATAACTTTTAACTAAGTTTATTTCACTTGCTCTGTCTCTGATACAAAGCATTTCTTTAAGATCTCTCTGTATAGTTCTTTTTCCACCTGAAATTTGAATCTACCTTAAAAATTCCCAAGCAGTCAGGTATGGTAGTCATTTTGGGAATATAGTTGAGAGTATATGATGGGACAGTCAAATAATGGCAGCTAGCAATAGTTAGAAGATAAGATCAAGGCATAAACCCTTGTCCCATATCTGCCTTGCTCAAATTGTGTGGTCTTGTTCATTGGTATTTTGCATGCATTTTGCTCATTCATCATTTGTTTGGCAATTAGGAAGTAGGATACCTGAGATGATAGTTTGGTAGATAAAATTGAAGACATTTTCACAACAGTTACATACCAGTAGCTATGTTGGTGTTGTATTTGATAAGCAGTGATCTCCTGGTAGATCTCAGGACAACAACTTCTCCTGATCAAGATTCTTATTTACTGAATTATATTATGTTGGCCATTCTCCAGTAGTACTATAACCATTTTATTGTTTTCAACCCATGTATCTCATTATCTGGATTGTCTTTGTACCTTAATCTAAAACTCAGTTTAATTTAATTCTTTTAATTATCTTATGTTTGAATTTTAATTTGGAAAAGACTGAGTCTAAGAGTGCATGGTAAGCCGAAGACATAGCATGCTCTTTGATATTTACATGCTAAGTTTCTGAAACAGGCAATCTTCATCATAATATATTCATTAGCTGTTTCTTATTATGTCATTTTTCTTGGTTTGCCATACTCAAGAGTTTCCATTTTCTTTCCAGTGATACTTTTAGGGTGAAAAAGTCACCAAAAAGATCTCCACTATCTGATGCACCTTCACAGGTAAGGACCTTCAACAAACTTTTTAAAAAGAATTTTTAAGGTACATTCAGTATTAATTAATTATCTACTTTTTTAATTATCTTGAAAAAAAAAGGAGGCAGCTCAGATGCTAGATTGAAAATCTTCCCACAGTTAATATTATAGAGCCAGCACAATAAGGAGAAAATAAATAATTACGACATAAAACGAAGGATCAAATGGGCAAGCATCAAGTAAATGTTAGATCACATACAACTAATGTTTAGGAGGATTTGAAAATTAGCCATATTTTTTTTTTTAGAAATGTTGAAATTGTTCAAGCCTTCATTTCCATGAAAGTTGATATTTTTAAGTACTATGGTAATATTTATCTAGAATGATTGGGTGAACTCCAAAGCTCTGTCTCAGTCTGGGGTTCTTATAAACCAATATGTATTTGTTAAAATTTTGCCATAAAATCTATGTAAACTAATCATTAAGGAACTAGAACTAATAGAACATAAAACACTCAATTTAATCAATCACTAGATGTATACTAATTAAGGCAGTGATTTTCAGATCCCTGAAATAGATCAAATGTCACTCTTCTAACATTTTAAAATGAAGAACCCAAGACCTAATTATGAATTAGAATAACTTGCATAGTGTAAAAAAGAGTTTCAGAACTCAGGTGGAGAAGTAAAGTGGTTCTTCTCCTACACCTACAACCATCTACATTTAGTCAAACTCTTAAGAGTTCTGGATCCATGAAAGAAAACAATTGTTTAACCTTTATTTTCTTCTTAGGAATCTATGGCACTGCCTACTACTGAAACGCCCTCTGTTGTATCCACTGTGGTACATGCAACAGATGAGGAAAAACTGGCATCTTCTGTGGGTAATCAGAAATGGACTTGTATGACCATGGATCTTGATAAGCAGGATTATCCTCAGCCATCAGATCTCTCAACATTTGTAAATGAAACAAAGTTCAGCTCCCCTACAGAAGGTAAACTGGGAAAAGAAAATAGAATCACTGTTTTATTTGACAAGGGAAATATTGGCCCAGAATAACGAGAAACAAAGGATATCATTGCTATCAGTAGTTACTTATTAGTCCATTTAATTAGACATTAATTATTTGTTTTGAAGCTATGTATAACATTTATTGGCTGCCCATCTTGCCATAAGATAACACATCCACTAGATTCTGGGTAGTTTAATTTAGTGTTACATTGACAATTTTAACTTATCAACCAAGTTAAACAGGCTATAGAAATTGGTATAAGTAAAAAAAAAAATCAAATAAATTTGAAATAAGAACTCTCCTCCCTACCATAAAAGAATATTGAAATAATTCAAAGTAGTAATTCAATGCCTGGTGGAAAAGAAGTGCCTTCAATATTTTGAGGGGAACGCCAAAAGTACATGTTCTCTTTATTATTAGAGAAGATAGGACCATAAGTGTAATAATTGATATAATACTGCATAGACAGTAAGCATTTTGTGACCAAATAGTATAATATATTGGCATTTTCTCTGAGATCAACATTTCTGCCATTTTTCTTATATAGGTTAAAATGTTTCCTTAAGTCTAATGGCTCTGTTTTGCTCTTACTTCCTACAGTCCCAGCGAACTCTTTGGCTTTAGGGTACATCTAGGAGAAGAAGTGCCAGGTAGTAGTAAAAAAACAACGAAGAGCATTTAAAATAATCATATGAAACAGCATTGAACTTGCTAATAGAACATTAATTTTAACAGTGACTTAACCTACAAGAATCAAATATCTTGAGGAAAAAGATGATTTCTGTCTAATATCATAATAAGATGTTGAGGATTAAAAATAGTGAGAGATTTTACATGGGATTTTTGTGAAGGTACTAGTTAAAAGACAACTACCTAATATTTAAAGGAAATAGTATCCTTTCTTGAGAGAACCATCCTATTAGAATTGTAATTTCTACCTGAGGCTAGCACATTATGGTTCAATACCTACTCATCTATGAGTCACAGAGTGACCTTAGTTTAATCACCATTGTATAGATATACCTGCCATAGCAGCTAATTGTAAGAATAATATTGCAACAAGAAAAAAGGAATATGTATTCTATCTTGAAATTCCTGAAAACAGGCTGGAATAAAAATGAAATAATTAGAGTGTGATAGTTATGGGACATAAGTAAGATTGCAACAATAGTTTAAATCTTGTTTAAATAAGATTTCCAGTCAAAGGTACATCATTATATTGACAACATGGGATTTAAGGTCAATGCAGGCTGGCATTTAACCTCAATATAAATACTAATTTATACTTGTGTTCCTTGTGGCTCAGATTGCCTATTAATTATGGTAGTGTTTCCTCTGTGGAGGTTTTTTAAACATAATCATACCTTCCCCCTGGAATTTCCTATGGGCTTCATTTGGAGACTGCAGAGTAATTAAAGCATTCTGAGAATTTGCACTACTTTCTCTTGTTAGCTGAATACTGAGATAAGGAAGAATGCCAATTAGCAAAGAAAGAAGCTCAAGGTGACTATGTTATAATTAAATATTGAAACTAACACCCAAATATCTCAGAGCTCCTGTTTATACCTTTGCTAATTCATTAGAATTCTTTCTTGCCTTGCTCCTCAATATAATTAATAATTTTTCAGTTTTTCAGTTCAATTAAATTTTATATTATATAAAATTATATAATTTTGTTCTGAATTGCTAGCTTGCATAATATTTGCAAATGTTGAGGGTTAAACATTTATCAGCCCTAGTTTCTAAAATTCAACTGTACTTATGGTAAACATTTCAGTATATATTTAGAGAACAAAAAGCATAATATGCCTATGGTCAACTTTTCCCACCTTGAAGCTATGTAGGTTTTCTGGACAACAGTTCCCATGATTTTCAATCAGCTGCTCTCAGTTGTCAGGTGGGAAAGTTCAGGTCCACACATGAAGGTCCAATTAAACTGAATTATCACTGTACAGGAGTCCTCTCAAACAATGGTTAGCACCTGCTTGGAGTTAGATAAGTGTACACAGAATTTGGGTAGGGGGGATATTAGTCTGATTGTGACTATGTAGGGATTCTAGGTTGATCCCTCTTTTAACTCCACCCTCAGCTTCTGTCATTTTTTTCTCCTACACAGTGGATTTATGGGTTAGAATGAAACCCATTTGGAGTCCCTCCCCCAATTCCCTGGCTGGAAAAACTTGTCTTTTCCAATAAACATTGCCAATAGAAATAAAAATTGTGCGTGGACAAATTACTCCAGAGTGTGCTTTTTTTAAGTAATTTTCATCTTAAATTCATTTGTATTGTTAATTTTATTATTCCATTACTATTAGGAACATGTCCATATGTTTGGAAGACCAGATTTTGTTTTTGTTTTTAAGTTGATTTAAATTATAGAAAGCAGCTATTTTTATTTTATTATTAAATTAGTCAGGATTTAACTAGCAACAATTGGTGTAAGATATTTAACTGATACCATGTTTGCATTTAAATATTCCAGAAATATTTCATCTGGCATATTAAAAGAGAATAAGGAATAGTACATTTTCACACTAACAAATGCTACAATTAACACATTTTTCTGTGATTATGGCAGGATTTGCTTATAGCATTCTTTCAATTAACCAATATAGTTTTATGGAAGAATATGTAGAAATGTTACACAAACAGAATCACCCAGAGCTCTATAGGCTATCTATTTCACTCCTTTCTACACATAAACCACACATAGAAGGATTTATCATGTTATCCATAGAATATTTTCCCTCAACAAAAGAGAATGAGGAAGTGATGATATTTGAAAAGTAAACTCACTAGATTGCAATCCCAGGTATTTTCTTGAAACAGGTTTATGCTGCTGGTGATTAAATACATGGTTAAGGTAAAAATCATAAGTAGTAAGATTAGACTTATTCTAAATTCTTAAAATACTGCCATAAAACATTACATAATACAAATGTAATAATGATTTCAATTTGTTATTTTCTCAACATATCTTTTAAAAAAGGAAGACATTTCTTACCTCCATGACACTTTTCATTTTAAATGTAGATAACATGTGACTTCAGCTAAATGCATTTCCAAACAATGATTTAAACTGGTTGAAGTCATTTGTATATGTACATGGTCATCTGCCTCATACCTTTGCCTAAAAATGAGCTCTTTTCCTATCGTTTAAATGTTAAGTCCTTTTATTTTCAGCTGCAGTTACTTATTTTAAGTAAGAAAGGTTAAACACTCAGATCAGGGATGGAAGTAGAGATAGCACACAGGCAGGTTCATGACAATTCAAAGTAATTTCCATCAAACACCAGACTCATAACTGGAAAGTTTAACCCTTCCCCTGGTGTACAATATCCAGCCTAGCCAGGTTTTTTGAGGGGGAGTGGGAGGATATTTGTTTGTTAGATAGTAGGGGAGACAATAATATTTTTTTTGCATGAAGTTTTTTATTTTATAACATAAAAATTTCATGTTTGGGTAAACAGTTTGTTGTTTGGGTATAAATAGTTTTATGAAATAATCATCAAAGTCTTTACAACAATATTAATTATATTTTCATTCTATCATAATGATCATAATACTGATATTTGCTTATCCATTTTAACAAGCCTCCCTTTTTTCATGTTCCTTTTCTTATATTTCCATATTTCTAACTTCTGTTTTTGTCAGCTAACCATTGATAAAATAAGTCCCAAGTCAAAAGGTATTCAGTTTCTTCCTTTTCTTTAATTGTAAGTGTTAATCTATCCATTTCTGCACATTCTAATATTTTTTAATCACATTTTCATCTGTAGGGATCTCTTCGCTTTTCCAATGTTGTGCAATACTATTCTGGCTGCAGTCAATATATGTAAAATCAAATATGTATTCCCTTTGTTATACTTACCTGATAATATGCCCAACAAAAATATTTCTGGTTTTAAATCAATATGTTGCTTTACCATTTTTTCCAACCATGTATGTATTTTTGTCCAATCTTTTTTTGCTTTTGGGCAGACAAGCATTTTTGTATGGAAGAAAGCAGTTGGGTAGAATGATCTCATAGAAAGAGAGCAAGGGCAGGATAACATTTGAGCATCCATCCCCTTTTGCCCTCTGAATCCTCACCAGGCTGATTTCCTGTTCAAATGTTCAGCAGCAGTGGAAACTGCCTAGATTTCTCCTACCATAAACCACTGAATGCTGCTGAATATCAGATTTCTAAGCAAATGCTTAGAGTAGCAGCATTCTTCTCTCACAGAAGAGGACTTTCTTGTGTTTAATTGAACTTAATGCTCCTGGATGTTCTCATAACTGTTTCTGGAAACAGAAGCAGAAGTACAAAATAGGCATACAATCTGGCAATTCCAGATGGTGCTACTTTTTTTCTTCTTCCAGTAATGAAAGAGATTGTTTAAATAATGAGAGCAGATCCATGTTGGGAAGAAAGAAATAATTCTGGAAAAGGCATCAACACTTTTTCCTTTACAGATAAAGGATACCCTAGCTTTGATTTATTAAAAATATTTATTTAAAATATTTTTGGAGGGGTAATATTTTCCCACACCTCATGAAATAATAAAGGATGTAGTAGTCTTTTCCCATATAAATATACACCTCATCCATGAATAAAAGATGCATTATCATATTAAGTACGACTTTTTGACAATTCAGCAGCTTATACATATGATTTTCCAGTTGAACAACTAGCACTTAAAAATTACCTTACCTATATATTAATAGTTTAAAAATTCTTGGGTATTGTAGGTTTTTTTAAAATCACCCTTGAGTTAATTTGACAAAAAGTAAATGAAATGAAGAACACGCATTTAGTATAAGGGCCAAAATTATAATTGGAATGAACAAACTTTAGTCCTAGTTTATGCTTTCAAACTGTGACTTGGCCAAAAATCTTTATTCAGCTTGATCTGGGTTATAATTTATTACTCTGATTTTAATGTCTAGGGAATGTATGCTGTCCACGAGAAAACATTTTTCCTTTCCTTACTAAAGACATTTTACCTTGTATTTCAGAGCTGGAATATGGAAACACATATGAAATAGAATACATGGAAAAAATCGGTTCTTCCATAGCTGTAAGTTTCTACTCGTGGATTTCTTGTTTCCTCTTACAGTATTTCTCTATGGTATATATAGAGAAAAGCCACAGTGCTTCCAATTCATTTGCATGCAGAACAGCTAAAATGTTTGCCAATTTTGCCAATTTATTCTGTAATTACTTTGATATACCTGAATTTTGGGAATTACTTTTAACATATGTTGCATGATATAATATGACAGGGTAATTAGGAGATGTTTCAGGTAAAGATGCATAGTAACATAGTTCTTACATTTTCTTTGACACAAGGATGATGATGGCCAAACAAAGCAATCTTTGTACCTTATGTTCAATGCTCAGCAAGAGAGTCCAATCAAGTCTCCTCCAGCTCGTTTATCAGATTCTACAACTCCTTGTTCTGGGTACTTTTTTCCCATTATCTATTAAACCTGTTTTAAGAAATATGGAATAATCAGAGCTAGAAATAGTTTTTCTTGACGTTTTTGGGTTGTACCACATTCTGCATGATAGCGTGATAAATTATTTAATTGGGTGTGTTTTGGAATGGCACAGAATAAAATCAGTTGACATTTAATATGCAATTACCCAATTAATGTCAGAGAAGAGAAAATGGCAACTTAAAATAATTCATAAAACGATTGATACCTACAACTTCAAACATCTAATAATTGTTGTATCCATTTATAGTAGTAAGGCTGGCAAATATGGATTTAACAATAGTATAAACTAAAAAGTAAAATATTGCATTGTAATTACGATATAGAATTTAACCATATTGTTCTCTTACATCATAAGTCTGTCATTCAGATGCTAGAATAAGACCCTGTGTTATGCCAGTCTGTCAGCTTTGGAAGCCATATTAGAACCAAAGCTTCCACACTGCCACATTCTTGTGCTTGGGAAATTGGGAGCGGGGATTTCATAGAGCGTATATAGTTAGACATAATAGCATTCTTCTTTATAGTCAAGGTCATGTTATTCCTACACCTGAGTGAGGAGTGTTTAAGGGATGTCTCAATTTGAGATGGATGGTGATTGGGGCATGTGATGGAATGATGGGTACAGGGGATGGATTTTGTGATTTTTAATTATTGAAGGAAAACCCAAAACTCTCAGATTCGGGTTTTCCCAGATGTGCCAGTATGACTTTTCAAATAAAAAGAAACTTTGAGAAAATGCCTGTCTCAGAGTTTTTGACTGGAGTTTGGTTTTGCTGGAACACTGACAGTCATTTTAAACAAATGCTAATTTTAAACAGAAATGCTAACCGTAATCTTGAGACCTAAGACTGAGATATAGCGAAAAAATATGTAGGTGGTTTGGCAATCCGTGAATGTATTATGTTAGCCAGTTCAGAAACATAATATTCTCTTTCCTGTAGGTCAAGTCTGGAAGAAACAGAAAGCCAGCTTCCCTGTAATATAAAACTACAACACCCAGCTTCACGATCCCTGGTAGCTAACCAAGAATCATCAGTACAGTCCTCTGATAAAACAAAAGAACTGGAATCTGTGTCTATAGGAAGTGCTTCAGACAACATAGTAAGTTGGTAGGAACATAGTAAAATGTCTTCATTGAGTATCTAGCTTGACTGTAAAGCAAGCTTGCTGTAGATGATAGGTCTGAAACTGTTTGACCCAATTACTCCTTTTCCCAATCTTAAATAATATTGTCCCCCCCAATTCCTTCCCATCAACCCCCCCCCCCCCAATTCTGATGTTCTGTGCAAACAACTTGGCAGTGTCAAACTGGATCCTCAACATATAAGCTAGCAATTACAAAGAATTGTAAAGCCTTACTCTGGACATGCCCTTCTGCTCTAGATTATAAGAGTGGGGAAATGGCCCGGGGCCATTTCTTAGAAAATATTTTAAAAAATATTCTCCCTGCTCTGATAGACTTGTGCAAATCTCATCTCTTGTTTTCTGCATATCTGAAACAAACAAACAAATAGATAATAGAACACTAGTTCCCAAAAAAGTTTTCCAGCTATAGCTTGGGAAACTCTGTTATGGACTGATTTTTCCAAGCCTGATTGGGATTTGTGGTCCTTACACATCTACTGAACTATATTCTGTGGTATTCAATTTCCCTTTTTTTTTCTTGCCAGATCTCAAGTTTTTATGATCCAATTGAAAAAAATATGTATTTTACTTCAGATTTGGTTGGCATTTGCCATATATTTACAGGAGCTAATGAGCAGTTTTAATTATGAATAGTTCTCTCAATTTCTTTATCTTTCTTACTCTTCAGATCAGTCCTGAAGATACCTATGTTTCCGCTGATGCTCTCCTTAGTAGAATATCTCATCCGTCTTCAGTATGTGATCAGCTTCAGTATCTGGAGCCTGACTTAGCGGAAAAGAATCCCCCGGTATTTGCTCAGAAACTTCAGGTTTGTAATCCAGATTTGTTTGTGCTCCTTATGAATGTTCTGGTGTGAGAAGGGAAGATTTCTAAAGTGTAGGAAAACTCTGCCATTAAAAAAAAAACCCTAAAAATTGTTCGTTCTCTCTCTCTCTCTCTCTCTCTCTCTCTCTCTCTCTCTCTCTCACACACACACACACACACACACAAACACACATTAACATATTGAATTAGCTTATTTCCAAAGAAAAAGTGAGTGTATAATATATCTATTTTATATAGTTTCACATATTTACATCTTCCTTTCCAATAATTCAGTATCTGCTATGTGAATGGTCTGCCTACATCTTTACAGTATATTCATTTCATCTACCCAGCTCTCTGGTCATGACAGATGATTAGAGATTCATTCACGATATTGCATCTGCCATCTTGCCAATTTTGACATGCCCTTTTCCCCTCTCCCTCCCCTTGTCAGCTATAACTAAACAATATTAACTATAATATTAACTATAAACTTTTCTAAAATCATTTTGGTGACATTTCACTAATACTAAACATTCAATATGTAGTTTATAGCCATAGCTCAGGTATGTGTAATGAGCTCCCTGAGAAACAAATGCACGTCAGAAAGGGTTTTATTAATTTAATGAAAAAATTAAGAGAGATAGTTGCAGCTTGAATGTTAAATATTTCATGTCATTTCTCTTAAATCCTGCGTCACAATGAGCTATAATATAACTCTCTTAGTTGTATTGTTATATTGGTAGCTCAGCCATCGTGGTTTCTTCAGTCATTGGTAGTTAAAAAACATCATGGCCTAGAAGAGTATATGGCCCTCAGCCAATATGTATGCAATATCCTAAAACAATATTCTAAAATGGTCCTAATGTGTTCTGTAAGTATGGGCATTTGTATTTGCATTATGCTTAATGGATTTTCCCTGTACATTGTCACTACCATCTCACTGGCAGGAGGAATTAGAATTTGCTGCAATGAGGATAGAAGCCCTGAAGCTAGCCAAACAAATTACCTTGTCTTCTTTCAACTCCTTAGATACTGAGGTATCTCCTGTGCCTGCAGTTTGTGTGCTTAAAAACTGTGTTGCTGCTTTCACTTTAACAATAAGTTTTTCTGAATGGTGATGCTGGATGATTTTGGTTCATTGCTATGTAGAAAGATAGAAAAGAGCATGTGGAAATTCCCTTTCTCTAATCTCAGATGTGGTTGCATTCCACTTTGCAGATATGTTTCAAAAATGACTATCACATGATGTGGTGGCGCAGTGATTAGAATGCAGTATTGCAGGCTAATTCTGCTGACTGCCAGCAGTTTGGCATTCGATTTTGACCGGTTCACGGTTGACTCAGCCTTCCATCCTTCTGAGGTTGGTAAAATGAGGATTGTTTGGGGCAAGATGTTGACTTAGATGTAAACTGCTTAGAGAGGGCTGTAAAGCACTGTGAAGCAGTATATAAATCTAAGTGCTACTGCTATTGATCACAGGAATACATTTGGCTGCCATTTTCTTATACAAACCTGTGATTTTCACAGTTTAATGTTTTGATACATACTGGAAATGTAAATGAGCTTGGTGATTTCTTTAGAAGGACATGGAAAAGACGCTGTGTATGTTATGAAGAATACACAGAGTTTGGAGAGTGCCAGAAATGCACGCAATCTTAGAAGAATTGGATGAATATATGAGAAATATTCACAGTTGTGTGATGTATATCACTGTATATCCAAAAGTTGAGTATGGCAAGAATTCAGAAAACTGTTCTATCGGATTTTTTTTTAATTCTTTTCTAAATACAACAATTCACCAAATTGGGGATACTCACTACTATAGCATGTTATTGCTTGAAAACTGGCTTTATCTGCAGGGATTGAGAAGTAAAAACTGGTACCACCTGGTTTAAGAAATGGATGGGTTTGGATCCAGGATTTTCTTCCCACAGTTTCTTCCCAACTTCTCCCATCTGCAGAAGATGGGAAATGTTAGATCTTTTTGATCTAACAGAGTTCTTATTTCCTCCTGTAATCCCCCATGCCCTTTCAAAATATTTCTTATATGGTTGTTGGCCACATAAAATTGAGTGAGATATAGTCCTGCAAAAGAATGGGTGATTAAGCAAGTTACATCTATCTCTTCCCATTGGCTGGCACAAACGAAATTGCATCTAGAATTGTTGCCATGGGGGATGGGATGGACTTGAATCATTGTCTAAATTGTCCAAAATTGCAATAAAGAGCTTTAATCATAAGCAAGAAAATAAATGGTGTCTATATAGTCAAACAGAACCCGCATACTGAGGTATCCCTTTGTTGACAAACTCTGAGAGGTCAAAATTGCACACTGCGTACGAGAAACTACAAATGCCAGGATTCCTATCTCTCCCTCCCCCTCCCCTCCTTTTGTGTTTGTGTGTGTGTGTTAGAAATTGTCTGAAGATGATGGTTTTGCTCTGTAGGCAACAATCCACGTCTCAATTGTCTAAGTGATTTAAAATAATGGGAGGAAACAGATTCCAAGAGGAGGAAGAGGCCTCATATGTTAATCTCTTCTTTATTCATTAAGATCAGAACTGTTTTGTTTCTTTCTTTTTCCCTCTGCTATGCCCACAGCATGCTGGCTGTTGCCATACTGGAGTGAAGTTGAGCCTGTGGTGCATGCAGCCTAAACTAGAGTAAAATGTTAATTTTTAAATCATTCATTTGATCTGTGCAGCTCCCCTGGAAGACTCCTTGGGGTGATATCAGTAGAAAGGAGCTCATGGGGTCTCCCTTATTGGACGTTATGTGTGCTTTGTGTTCTTGTTTTTGATTTTTTTTAAAATACTGGTGCCAGCTGAATATTTGCCTGCCAGTGCTGTACCACAGACTGAAAACATTCATTTCAAAACAGGGAGGTATGAGCTATTGCGATTAATTCATTAGATTACCAAGCTGTACGTTTTAACATAATTCTATTTTGCATTACTGTGACTCTGCTGTTGATGATTGTGACCAAGGTGGCTCAGGAGAAAAGACTTCCTGTTTTTCTTTTCTATGATTATTTGGTCAAATTGTGTAGTCTGAAAAGTCGGACAGGCATGATAGTATTTCATTTGAATCTGTATCAGTGTTGATTTAAACGCCTTAGCATTTTTATATATTTAAATTTTTCATACTTCAGATTTTTTTATTCTGTGTTTCCAGTGCTGAGCATTATAAGTAACACACACACACACACACACACACACACACACACACACACACACATATTTTGGTAGTTTTTTTAGTCAGAATTGGCTCCCTGGTCTGATTTAATGAAGATAATGCTAAAAAGGTTCTTTTCTTCTACTAGTTAAAGTAGAACTCCAACATTATAACATCTCTGAGTTAAATCTCTAGCAGAGCAGTCTTACTGCTGGTCCATTTTGCGTTGACAGTAGGAAGTTTGGGAGAGACATCAGTCACAACAGGTAGTCCTCTAATTGCCACCATCATTCAGCCCAAAATTTCTGTTGCTAAATGAAACAGTTGTTAAGTGAGTTTTGCCTCATTTTATGACCAGGGGTGGGATTCAACCAATGCTACTACCGGTTTGGTGATTATGTTTTGCGCACGCATAAGCCCGACGCGTGCTATGCGTGCATGTAAAAAAAAATCAGCTGTGCCACCTGGGCGCATTTGAAAAGCCTCTTTTTTCCTGCTTTCTCAACCTCAGGTGTGCCATGCAAAGCAGCTGAGGTTGAAAAAGCAGGAAATAAAAAATAAGTAATAGCCCGGGCGGGCGGGCGGGTGGACCAAACATTAGCAAACAGAACCGGTTCGGTGTCTGCTGCTCTTCAGAACTACCGGTTCTGTACAGCTGGGCAGAACTGGTAGCATCCCACCCTCGTTTATGACCTTTCTTTCCACAATGGTTAAGTGAACCACTGCAGTTGTTAAATTAATCACATGGTTGTTAAGTGAATCTGGCTTCCCCATTGACTCTGCCTGTCAGAAGGTTGCCAAAGGGGACCGATCACCTGACTCTGGAACATTGTAACTATTATTAATACATGCCAATTGCCAAGTGTCCAAATTTTGATCATGTGACCAGTGGGATACTACAATGATCAAAAGTGTGAAAAATGATCATAAGTCACTTTTTCAGTGTCAGTTTAACTTTGAATGGTCATTAAATAAAATGTTGTAAGCTGAGGACTATCTGTACACTGACTGCCTAGATGTTTTTTTTTTTTGTTTATAAAACAAATTTGTCCACTTTTCAAGGTCAAGAAACACACCCCAAGGATTCCAGCCAGGGTACTTTATTATCATAAAATTCATTAACAGCCCTGCTGCATTCCACTCCTGGAAGGTCTACAGCAGGGGTGTCAAACTCACAGCCTGCAAGCCAGATATGTCACATGCTGGCTATGCCCACCCTCAGTTTAGCAAAGCGGGGAAAAGTCGAGATAAATCACTTGATGATGACATGACGATGTGAGTTTGACACCCCTGGTCTACAGGAATGGGTTGTCTCCTGATTGTTTCATTGCGCTGAACAACTGTCCATCTGCCCACCCGGGCTCTTACTTATTCTTTATTTCCTGCTTTTTCAACCTCAGCTGCTTTGCGAGGCACAGCTGAGGTTGAGAAAGCAAGAAAAAAGAGGCTTTTCAAATGCTGCGCGCCCACGCACAGTGCTTTTCAACTGTCCAGATGGCACAGCTGATTTTTTTTTTTTACATGCATATGATGATGACACATGATGACATGACGATGCGAGTTTGATACCCCTGGTCTATAGGAATGGGTTGTCTACTCATGTTTCATTGGACTGAACAACTGTTTACCTCATGCATCTCCTTCTCAAAGCCAGAGTTAATTCCTTTTAGAAATTGTAAGCCACCTCTAGGATTGATACACATTTTCTGCTGAGCTGAGGCTGCCGCGGTGACTGGGGAAATATCACATGAAGCAGATTATATAAGTGCTTCCTCCATATTCCCAGCCTAATGCTTATTGTGTTCTTTTCTAGCCTTGTTGACTCTACAGTGTCAAAGGTACTAAATAACTTAATATCATTTGGAAGCCATGAAGTATTGCAAAACTACTGGGCATTTTCCCAGAATGAATTAACAAGATGTGATATAATTATATGAATAGCTTGTTAAGTAATTTATCTTAATTAAATTTTTCAAGAGATTGTTGTGACAAATTTGAAAAACAAGCTTTTGGGCAAGCTGCCCTGATTAAATTAAACAATCTTTCCCTATAACATGTTCAGTTGGAAAGTACAATTTGATTTACTTTTTTAAGCACTCATTATCATAGTCAACATGTTAAATCAGTAATGAGCTCATCTAATAGAACATCCATAGATTTACAGTAGACAAGAAATAAATTGAAATTAAGTATATAGAATATCTGAAAATATTGAATTTCTTTTGAATATCTTGTTGCTATATTGCTTCGTTTGAAGGATCAACTTTTCCATGGAGCTGCTACGAGCGTCCAGATTGGGAGGTGCTTCAGTCTCGGCTCCTACAGGCTGAGCTTGAAATTGAGGAACGCCTCTTGCCATCACGTGGTCCTCCGGCGTCCCAGTTTTTAGCTCAGCCTCGTGGCAGTCAGGCTGTTCGCTCCTTAGCTCCTTGGCTGATCGTTTTTTCTACTCATTCTACTCATTTTATTGGACCCTCTCTTCAACCAGCGCAGGAAAATTGAGGTTTGGACTCTCAAGGGAGTACCCTGATACAAGGGGGAGAATTTTATCGCGTATTTCAGGGGCAGAGGCTAGCCTTCTGAACGCCCCCCCCACCCCCCCCCACCCCCCCACCCCTCCTTCGCTGGTCGTTCCTTCGCTCCGGTGAAAACGCATCGTTTCTTGCCTGCCTTGACTTTTCCCCCCCACGAACGCCTTTAGCTCAGGGGAAACCGCTCCCCTGCCTCTTCCTTCATTAGGAGAGTTCCGCCGCTGGGTTCAGCTCAAATTGTTTGCGGCCGCCATTTTGGGGCTCCGCATGGCGTCCGCCATTTTGAATGTGGCCTCAGCATGGCGTCCGCCATTTTGAATGTGGCCTCACCA